AAATGATAGGAACTACTGCTGCTCAGCGACGTACATACATATATAAATAGCTATTTAGGTGAAGAGTAACTATTAGACATATATGCATGTAGTTATATATATGTGTATATATCGCTGAAGCGATTTTCGGCCGAGCTCTTGCTCCAATTTGTGGTTTCGCGTCTTGATGTTTTTCCAACAAATGGCTCCCTCCCGTTTATACGTATAAAGCCGCCTCCGAACGGCTGATGGTTTTTTTTATGAGGAACCTTTATTTCATGTACGAAATACACTCGGAGGGGTTGACATTCCATGCCGAGGAGCGACCGCATTTAGAAAATTTGACTCACATTCTTATTTAAATTAACTTTCCATAACTTTTGGATGTTGATCATGCCAGGATTTGAACCCGAGCCTTCCGAATGGCAGTACGCAATGATTACCACTCGGGGCGTCCGCGTCCGCCAATACATATATATACTCGTATGTGCTATCTATTTAAATACAGCATTATTTGTTCATATATATATATGTATATCTGTATGTTCGAAGGTGAAACCCACCGCCTGCTGAAACAGTGCAAAGCATTCACCTACGCATTACTCGCTGTTATGCCATAAATTCGGTATATCCATAAATTATACGCATAATTTATGCAACAACAATGAGAGTAATGTATGCAAAATAAGCAACAACAAATAATTGTAGCGAAGGAGCAAATAATTATTTAGTGCACTACGACAGGCTGACAGTTAACGAATATATGAGCGAGGATGGCATGTACTTTGTAGCAGGGCTGCCGTGTAGAAATATTTTTATTTTAAACTGAAAGCTCTGTGGACAACAAAGATCTTCAAGATCCGTACTACGGAGTGTCTAGAAAAATGCGACGAATAAAATGGTGGAGTGATGTTAGATGAGACGTTTTACGGGAACATATATTGAATATGTTTGTGTGCGATACCCACGACTCATGTTTGCCAAGAGCGTCCAACACGTTTGGGTTAACAAATAAAGCTTTTATTTATAGCTACGTGTGGTTTTTCCTGTTTCGGCTGTCGCATGTGAGAATTTAGTGCCCAAAAGACCTTGAACTCGATGTAATTGCCACAGATTTGTTCTATACAACACTCATGGGAATTGTGATATGATAAAGTCTTCAGAGTAATAGATCATTAAAGGTTTAAACGCATGCTCAAGTCTCTAGATCTTCACTTTGAAACCAATTACGCACTGTCCAGATAAAACTGACTTAAAATACCACGTGAATTTTCATACAGAAATATCGAAAAATAGTTAAATATCCTTTTGGGCGTAGCTAGCCGAGGCGACTTCGCCTCAGAGAGTTCATCCGTAGGGTCCAATTTTCGATGACTCGTTCGAGTACTTCCACCGATGACTGGCGAATGAAATCCTTGATGTTTTGCGCCAAAGCTAAAATCGGAGCAGGATTGCCGGCGTAGACTTTAGACTTTACATATCCCAGAAGAAAAAATCTAAAGGTATGATACCTCACAATCTTGGTGGCCAATCGAACGTTCCAAAACGTGAAATTATCTGCTCACTGCAGTGTTGTCTCAAAAAATCCCTTAATTAATGTGTTGTGTGGGAAGTGACACCCTCTTGTTGACACCAAATCTCGATCTTCAATTTCAAGCATAAAATATTTGGATATCTTGGCGCGATAATGGTTGCCATTGACGGTTACATTCACACATGAATCTCTTCAGGTTGCGCTCCACCACTGAACAAAACTTGGCTCGAAAACGTCGGATCTTCTTGGAACTTTTCAAGAGCCCATAGAGCGAAGCGATGTCGCTTGGGAAGAGCGAACAGTTTCAGTTACAACAGTACACAGTTTTTTTCGAATCGACTCTCTATGGTCTTCTGGTACACTTTCCCCTACGGCCATTATATTTTGTTCACTGCGTGCTGGACGTGGTATATTCGGTCAAATGCTATCCAATAATGAATACTGGGTCTCAAGATGGATGATGGTGCTGCGAATAGTATGCTCAATAGGCCGCTTATGTTGACTGTAAGTTGAGCGAAGCTCGCGAAACACATTCTATAGAGAATGTGAATTTTCGAGCATTCCGTCAGCCAGAGTTATTTCTTTTTAATTGCGTTCGCTCCTATGCAGGAAAAGGACTTGCTATTTTAGGTAGATATCTGACTTGACATTAAAAAGCTCCTCTCATAAAAGTCTTTCGACCTACTCCTACCGGAGTCATCTTGGAGTGAACTGTAGCCCCTTCATCAACAGTTGAGAAACTTCATTGAAGCTTATAAAAACAAGGTAGTTTCCTAATATGTAGATATTTGATAAGGTCGTTCTTAACGACCGATTCCAAAATCTGAGTGGCATCTCCTGACCGTCGATCGTTTTAGCTCTCAGTTTATTCACACTAATTATATGTATTTTATGTTGTTTTCTTTTATACTATTTTACTTATCTCATTCCAGTAGGGTCTGCTTTTATCAGAATTTTTTTACCTTTCTGTTTTACTATGGCTATTTATCTCTGCTACTCTTATGTATATGTATATATTTAATGCTTGGTACATAATTATTGGCAAACCTAACTTATAATACAACAGACAGCATGGTAAATACACATGTGTGTATATACGGGTACATAAGAAATTCTGTTTGTGTGCATTGTTTATGATGGAGGTGGATTTCATGTAAATTACTGTTAATTATACATACTATCTGCTAAAGTGAATACGCAGTTATGAGTTATAGCATATACAGTTATGTATTTATGCACTATCTATGAACTGCCATTTATCAAATACATACAAACCTATACAAAAGGAGCTGATATGTAGTGAATGCATACAATTAATTATGTACACAAATACATATACTTATGTACGAGTACTTGCAGTCGGTCGCGTAAAATTGCTCGCAATTAAAGATGCAATTTAAATTTTTGCAATAATTGCAGTCATAATTTGAGATTCAGACAATTTTATGTAGAAATTCAGTTTTGTTTTATTTACAAAATATATTTTTTTCGAGTCAAAAAACAAATGAAATTCCTTTGCAATAAATTCAGATGTTTGTAAGGATGTGAGATGAGGTAAGCACTTCATTATTGAACGAAATTAAAGTGATATTGACTTAACAGCCTTAAATGTAGTAGGCTTTAGTGATTAAGGGGCACGCCTAATTTAATGGTCTAAAAAAAGGTAATTTTTGGGAATTTTAATTTAAAAAAATACTTTATCAATTATTTCAAAATTTTAAGAATATATTTATACATGTTTCAATAATATACAGTGAAATTTTGAAAAATAGATTAAATATTTTTTAAGTTATAGTCGATCTCCAACGGCGCGAAAAAAGAGGTCCTTCACTGCTGCAGTGATTGCGGCCTTTTCCGTGGATGAAATCTAAAAAAAAAAATTTCTCGATAAGATAATATTGTCTGTACAATGACCTACGATAAAAAAAAATATTAAAAATTGACAATATAGCGGCGTTTTAAAAAAATAGTCGAATTTTACTCAAAATTTTGGTCGGTTTTGGCTTGCTAAAATTCGATTTTTTGATCAGATCGAAAATCAATAGGTCATTGTACGGAGAACTATATATAGAATATGTAAAAAAATTCGATAGTGATCGGATCATTTGTTTTTGAGCAATCACTGCAGCAAATTCGGAAAAGATGTTTCGAGAAAAACGCGTTTAAAGATAAAATCATCGTTTTCACTCGTAGCTAATGAGACTCTCCAGCTGCCGAGCGGCTGCTCTTTAAATTGCTATAACTTAACTATAATACTATAACTATTTGAGATATCGATTTGACCGATTTCTACCTCTTTCACACTAGGTGTGCCTCTTAAGAAAGGTCTTATATGAGGATATGCCGGTTGTTTTTCCAAATAAGATATTTTCAATGGAACATCTTGTGATGTGACTTCAATTCAATGTATTGAAATAAACGCGATCGGAGTGACCTAAGTCCGTTATACACTCTTGACGGCTGGGTTATGGCATTCCTTGTAGAGGTGCGGTCAAAATCTTAGGAAGAAATAATTTTTTTCGTTTAAATTAATTTTATGAAATTTATTTTGGAAGTTGGTCCCAGGCCATAACCCTCTGCATGGTAACATGCACTACATGCACAACCCAGTTATTGCGGCTGAAATGCAAGCGAATTTCAGTGGTCGTATGAACAGATCTGAAGGTCTGAGCTCAAGCTTAGAGGGTTAAGCTTTCTTAGTGGGGTGAAAAAAATCTGTCTTTCTTCATTTTCCTTGGTAACTCTATTTATTTATATATGGTTGTATCCGGCCATATCTAAATTACTTAGCTCAGAGATATATATTACGGCCCGAATACTTTGTATACCTCAATACTACAATCTGGCCATTCCAGCTTATTTCTGAGCCATCAGTACATAATTTTAAAAAGTTTATGAGTGTTGCCGAGAGCCATAATAGTCATCTATGTCATTATGTATCGCTGTTAACGTCAAAGCTTCAAGCTCGGGAAAGATAGTTCAGTCCATAAATAAAGAGTCATCCTTGTATGAACATTTCTAGGCTTCAGTTTTATGATAAAGGTGGGTTGCTTAGAAGTCGTTATCAATCGGCAGATTTCTGTCTTTAATTTCCTATTTAATTATAAAAGTATCAGATGGAAAAAGAAAATGTTTTCCAACATGATTAGAATGGCCCACTTAGTTGAAATAGCCATGCCCGTTGTTGTTGTTTTTGTAACCGTAAAATATTCCCGTCCTTGGCCGGATTAAAATCCAGGTCGTTTCGGTATAACCTAACCCGCAGGGACCTAGCCTAGAACTTCGCCTCTCTGTCCGTGTGTTTGAAAACAAACTAAATTTTGCCGGAGATCGAACTTAGCTTCTATTTCCATATATTTATGATATATACGAGTACATACATACAAAGAATTTGATGCGCATGAAGCCAACGTCTATTTCTGATTTTCTTAACTCTTTTTTCAATATACAAATAAAAATCTTACATTATTTTCACTCTATCACGCAGACTCAAGTGGACAGCCGCAATACCGCCAACGACTCAGCAAACGCCGCAACAGCAACACCAACAGTACGCCGATCAATTTCAACAAAACTGTTGCTGCGTGAGTGATATACCCTCCAACAACATACATACATACGACGTCGTCACGAACAATAACGTCATGTATGAAAATTCCTGTTCATATCAGACAGCGCTCGATCTAAAGCGTGTCTCACCGCCCACACTGGCGCAAGTGAAGACCGAAGATTGTTTGACACTCGGCCAATGTTCACCGGATTGGTCAACATATCGCTTCCATCAATCCACATTCGAGCAGTTGAAGCAGAGCGTTGAGAAGGCGAAAGCGGCGCTGCAGGATCGTAGCGGATTTTTTGGTGCTTCCAGTGCATTTAGGTGAGAGAGAGAGAGAGAGGGAAAGTAATTAACGGTTTATAAATTAAATTACATTCTCTGTAATTATTTAGCGACATCTATTCAACGCAACGACTCAGCGACACACTCGGCGATACGCTGCCCAATGTGCAACCGACCAATAGCAGTAACTGCATTGGGCTGGTGCACAACACCGGCGGCATAAGTGGCAATTCAGTGGCGAGCACGCCGAGTTTAGTGCTAAATGGTAATTGTATAACCACCGTCTCAGCGGCCACAACGGGACAACGTTACCGTTTGGACAGCCTACAACCGGTTACGGGTTGTTCACCCGTCTCACAGCATGGCGTCATCAGCTCGAGCGGCGGTAGTGTGCCGCCACCGCTAACGCCGGGCGCACTGGATGCGGTCGGTGTGGTGGAGAGCAAGTCCAGAGGTGAGTGTAAAACAAACTACAATACTTTTTGTAACTAAAAATAATAACAAGGAAATTTTAATATTTTACTTACTACACAGGATTTCCTTGTGAACGAAAATAAAGAAAAAAAAATCGAGGAAACTTAGATTTTCACTTAACTACTTTTTAATGTATGCAAATCCGTCAGATACTCCACTTTTTACTGCCAAAGTATATATGTAGTTACAAGTATTTGCAGGATCATAATTTGCTAATTCAATTTCCACAATTTCTGCTTGTCGTTTTGGCCTTTCTTTTATTTATTTATTTTTCAATATTTTGGCCAATAAACGAACCACAACTGAGGTCGGCTGCTCGCTCGCTGCCAAATTGTTCAAACAAAAACAAAAACAAAAAAAAAACGTCATTATAGTTGAAGCAATTTTTTGCCACGTTTTTTGTGATGAATTTGCGCCAAACATGCAAGCCGCGCATAACACGGACATTTCACATTTAAATATAGCCACAGAATAGACACACACACATGCACCGTTGAGCTAACTCGCTGTGATGTGTCTATTTGTGGCGCTACTGACCCTCGCGACCAAAATGGACGAGCAAAAAAGTTGTACTGCAACAAAATCACTTAACTCGTTTGAGATATACGTGGAATAAAAAAATACGGTAATACAAATCCGCACAGAGATAATGGAGTATGAGAAGCATAAGTTGCTGCATATCTACCATCTCGTACATGCGAAAAGCCCCGCACTTCGTTTCTTTCTCATCCTCCGTACTAAAATTGGTCAAGCCGCCATTTAGCAGCATGTCCTCGCGTACCTCATAGCTTGACTTATAGGTTTCATCCGTTTCAAACAAAGACATCACAACTGTCCAGCACTTGCCTCCCACCTGATAAATATACTTTCCGCATTCAGTGACACTGTGTGAGCTTGTGTGTTGGCGTCAGGCGTGACAGTTCGCGGTTTATCACCTTCAATTGTTGAATTTGGCTACTTATATTATTTTAAAAATATTTTGACGGTCTATATTTGCAACATATGTGTATTTAAAATATATGTGCGAGTATATTTTCCATGATATTATATTTTTCCGCAGTTTTTTTTATGTAATAAAGACACAAAATGGCTCTTTGGAAGGAAAGAGCTTTTGGTTTGCTGGACAAATTAGTTTATTTTGGATAAAAAAAATACCAAAAATGCCAACTCAACTGTTGGCTCTTCTGTTGTTACCGTCCTCCGTCTCTGTTAGCTTCTGGTGGGTATAACGAGCGATTTGCAGAGTTTGGTTTCTGTTGTTGTTGTAACCGCAAAACTATTCCCCAAAGTAGTTTTTGGGGAATGTGACGGTAGTGACTGTTCTTGGACGGATTAAATATTTGGGTCGTCCCGGTATATAGATCCAACTGTCGCGCGAACTATTGGATTTTAGACCCCTCCTAGGATAGGCATGCCTTACACCGGGTAAATTCTTGAAACCATAACCCGCGTGGCCGCAGGGGGGAGAGTTTGGTTCTTGGTCTTCTTAGACAAGAGTTATTTGACGAATCTTAAGATCACCATTTTTAATGTTATAGTTGTATCACAGCTCGTTTCGTTTACAAGCCCCGTCTATAAGCGCTATGCGTCTGATTTATAAATTTTTTTAAGTCGCCACCGAACGGACGCAGTAGCGCAGTGGTTAGCATTGCGTGCTGCCCTTCGGAAGGCTCGGGTGTAAATCGCCCGTGCGACCAACATGAAAAAGTTATAGAAAATTAATTTAAATAAAAAATTAAGCTAAATTTTTTAATTGCGGTCGCCATGAAATAAAGTTTCCCATAGAAAAATCATCAGCGTTCGAAGGCGGCTCAGTATACGCTGTAGGTCTCTCCATTTTTTAGAAAAACAGTAAAGGAGCAGCTCGACGGAAAATCGCTTCAGCGGTTAGAAAGCGCCAATTATATATATATATATATATTTTATTTCACACTGGGAGGGTTTGACATTCCCTGCCGACAGCAATTAGAAAAAATAATTTCTAGTCCTTCCGTATGGTCGCATGCAATGCTAACGCGTGAAAGGTGTACCTCACTAGTGTCAGTGGAGCGTTGCGAGCTATCCCAACAGGGACGCTTAATGACTAATATAGCAAAAAAATCTGACATGGAAACTGTTGCAAAGTTTAGAGAAACTGAGTTACTGCTTGGTTTAAGACCTAGGCATATGAGGCTAATGTAAGACCTCGGCTCCCATCAAGAAGCAGCGGTTACGCTGGCTAGGTCATGTGGTCCGGATGGATGCGAATATCTCAGCTTTGAAAGTTTTCGATGTAATACCCACCGCCTGAAGCAGAGGAAGAGGAAGACCTCCACTCCGTTGGAAAGACCAGGTGGAGAAGGACCTGGTTGTACTTGGTATTCCCAATGGGTACCACACAGCAAAAAGCAGAAACGAATGTCGCATTGTCGTAAAATGTAATTCGCATATCTTTGAAGAAAGGACTCAGGGTTCGGTGGCTATTTTATTCTTTAGATTTGTTATTACTACGTCATAGTTGGGCATTGCAACTTGTACGTCATCGCAGTCTAATATTGATTTTGGTTCGTCATCTGCGACAAATCACTCGTCATAGACAGAAATAGATGGTAATCACGTGGTGCGAGGTCCGGACTAAAAGTTGGATGAATAAGCACCACAACCAGCTCTCGGAGCTTCTGGTGAGTCACTATCGATCAAACACATTTCCTCTCTTGTTGGCCTGGCCGCTTTTGGGCGATTTCTTCTTTCAAACGGTCTAATTGTTGACACCCCGATTTGAAAGTTTGGCAGTGGATGAGCAACTGAGAGTGGATAATTTGTTGTCAAACCCACTTAACCACTCAACAAAGCCATTCTGGCCGTTAATGCATGCTTGGTGACCTATTGTGCAGGCTTACTGCCCTTCATCCACGACCGCTTTCGTTTGACGTTGCTGTAAGTGATGCACTTTTCATCTGAAGTCACCATCCAAATCAGCAGCGTTTCGCAGTTGGCATGTCGGATCATGAGATTTTATCTCATCCAGCTTCTTTGTGTATCCCGCCTTTTTCAAATGGTTTCAAACTTTTGTTGCACAACTGTTTTTCATTTCTTATGGAAGCTTAAAGCTTAAATTTAAATAGAAATGCCTTAAAGTAGCATACCAAAACCGGGAACCGCAAAAATTCAAAAATACTCACCGATGGCTATTAAATCATAATTAAAGCGATTTATGTGACAAAAGCATAAAAGAAATTCTCGCAAGCAGTCAAGCAAAGATGGATGAGCTTTGATTTGAATAAATTGCTCGTAAATTCTTCAACGCATGGCATTGTGAACGTTGATGGCGACTAAAGCGAAGCGTTTGACGTTAGGTGCGACAACAGCAACGACGGGAGAGAGAAAGAGATGAAGATTGAAGTTTAAAAATGAAATCAAAGCAGCACAGCTTCAGCAGTTGCTTGTGACCGGCGCTTTTGCAGACGCCTTAGTCTGCGGTACTACCACAGCAAAATTCCACTGTTTTTTTGTCATAAAAAAACTGCGCACACGAAATGTGGAAGTGGAAAGTTATCAGCGTTGGCAATAAATAATAAAAATTGGTGAAATAAAAAAAAGTTAGCGCCAAAATGTCAACTGAAAAGTTTGAAAGCTAAATGCCCACACCCCCCTAGGTTGCTTGCATACATTATTTTATTTTGAATAAGTTAGTGGCGAGTGCTGAGTACACGCCCCGATGACTTTACGGGCTTTCACTTACTGGTCGGTCGGCCGTCTTTATTATTATGGCTTTCTACTTTGGGTGCCTTTTGGGTAAATATTTCCTTACCGCTTCGTTTCTTATGATAATTTTTCGCAAAATTGCGAGGGTGGCGAATTATACGAAAGAGTACTCGTTGGAATGAATTAGGGGGGCTGGAAGGGTATATTTTTAATAAATGTATATGTGAAGGATAAGCTTTGTATCATTTTCATTGCGACCTTTTTTCTCTCCTGTCGTCCATTTCTCTTGTTGTTAACTGCTTGGGTTGTATAGCTGTTTGATGGGCTTTGATAGCACGAAGGCATGTGGTATGGACCTAAAGATGCCCTGAAGAAGTTTATACGCTGGATAATAACAAAAAGTACACGCACACAAGTAAACAGTTGAGATAAAACATTTACACATACATACGTATATGCGTTTAACCTTTGTATTCCTACAAATGCATATACATACTCGTATATGTGTATGTGCGTGCATGTGTCGTTATAGAATGCATTGTACTTTTCTAGCGAATCCTTTTTGTGTACTTTTATGATCATTATTATTATTATTACTGCTACTCTTTGTTGTTTTTATTGTTGTTAGCCCGCTTTTTGGCCTGGTTGTCGTTAAGGCAAAGTTATCTCATGCCACAGCTCTTCAGCTCGTTGCCCGTTTTGTCGTGTTCTTCCGTGCCTGTGTGGGTGTATAGCATGTAAGAGTGTGCGTTGATGCGCCATGCTTGGCTTGCTTGAAAAGAATTTCTCATGCGTAACTCATTATTTTTCTTTCGCAGTGAAAATAATTGCAGAAATTGTGAAGACGATATTTTTTTTTTTTTTTTTTTTGAGTTTTTTGTTTTGTTTCATATGCAGTCACCCGCATTAAATATTATACACATGTGCATAGTAGTCGGCTTACATATATTTACATATACGAGTATATGTATATAAATATGTGAAACATAATATAAAGCTATGTACGATTGTACTATGTGCAAGTATTATTCAGCTAGTAATTCTTTAACCAACAAAACTCCTGCGTAATTGGAATTATTGGAATTTTTTTCAAATATATTAACTTTTCAATTTTAATGAAATAAATATCTAACTGCACTAGACACGGTTCAAAGCAAGATACCAAAATTTAAAGGTAGTTTCAATCTCTTCATTCAAATCAGTCTCACAGTTTCAGAGATGTTTTGTAAGCAGACAAACTCATGATAAAAATCTCATAATTACGTCGTATAAGTCGATTAAATTTAAATATAACCGCTAAATATATGGATACTAGTCAGTTAGTTAGAGTTAAACAGATTGGTCGTTCACGGAACACTGATCTCTTGATTTTACCTATGTTGGTTCTATGAAGAAGACT